AATTAGTTTTTGCACTTTAGAAAGCATTTTGGATTTGGTAGAGGGCAAAGAGGAAGAGAAAACAGAAATATTGACATCCGGTTTGAGTTGAAAAATTGGAAGCCCATTAAGTTTTCTTCATAAATAATCACAGTTAAGAGGTGGATAGTTTGGTACCTGTTGAGGCATTTGAATAGCAGAATGGATTAGTGTGAGCATGTGGGATTCTCCTACACTGCAGAGAAATTTGGACAGGGTCTGCGGTGTCATGCGGGGAGAAGGAAGGGACAGCTTCCCCAGCTGTGCTCTCCTGGTTAACCGCTGCCTCTGCCTTTCTCTCCAGCCTTCGTTCTTCGTCGTGTACAACATGGTGACTACAGAAGTGATTGCTGTATTCGAGAATACGTCCGATGAGCTGCTGGAGCTGTTTGAGAACTTCTGTGACCTCTTCAGGAATGCAACCCTCCACAGTGAGGCGGTCCAGTTTCCCTGCTCAGCTTCCAGCAACAACTTTGCCAGGCAGATCCAGCGCCGGTGAGCCATTCGGAGCATGCTTTATACCGTATAGACACACGCTCGTCCCCGTCAGCTGAAGGCTAGTATCAAATAACGGTGGCAACCCTGAGAAAACCAGTTCCTTTAGTCGCGGGGTGGTACAAGGATCTGGTGTGTACATGGTTCATCTTACAGCCTCATGCATCTGATTTTATATTCCGCAGCACCTGTCTTGTTACAGGAAGCAACAAAGCAGTGGCAATCCAGTGCTTAGAAGAAGGAAAAGGAATTTGGAGGGAAAGATGTTTCCGGCTTTCCTTGAGTAATAACTTCTCTTGAGGTTATTAAAGTGTTATTGCCCAGTAGCTTAGGTCCCTGAAGATAAGATTTGTCAAGATGCTATCATCGTCTAATTGGATGTATTTTGCCAAGTGGTGTTCTCTGAATTTAGCGTGTATCAAACTGGGTTCTGTAGCATTTTCTCCAACGTCAGTCAAAATCTTGAGGTTCTCGTCACACTGTACTAGGAGAAAGGAAACTTGTCTGCCTAGACCTGTTGTGAAAGCTGAGCCAAAATATCAAAATAACTTGTGTTTCTAGAATATGCCTTAACAGTCAGATGTGGCTTTAATGAGGCTGAGTGTGTTATTTCTCTTGGAATATATTTTTATATGACTCAGGGTGTTTTGTTCTTCCAGTGACTTGTTTCACATCATCCAAAGTACTTGGCAATCACTTATGGGCATGAAGCTTCTGTTGATTTTGGGCTGACGTCACATAAGAGGAAGTTGACAGTGTCTGTAACTTTCTAGAGCTGCCTGTCTGGAAATCCATAGTGCTTACTGGGAAAGAGAATGAGAGAGCTCACCACAGACACCCGAAGAACAACTCCTGCTTTGTGTAGTAGAGAGGAGAATCTTTTCATCCCCGTAGCTACAGGGGCCTGTAACAGGAGTGTTTAACTTGCGTAGCAAAGTTTAATAGAGCATAATCCACAGTGAGGTGGCTTTTGACTGAGTCTTTCTGGTCAAATGGAAGTGTTTTACTCTCCTTGATACATGACATTCATGCAGCTGATCTAACTGTTCTTGCACATGGAAAGCTCAAATTTTACTTGGAAAGAGAAATCCAGCCTGTGTTAACTCTCCACCAGGAAGAACTTTCAGCTCACTGTAGTTTCTGAAGAGCTATAGGCTTCTCATCAAGGTTCTTCCTCATCTAAGGTTTCTCCCTTTACGCATTTAAAACAGCAGCTAGAGAGAGGGAGATTCTCAAGTCAACATTAAGGGCTCAGCTGTTACTGTGAAACCCTCTGGCTTTTGCTTATGCTGTTTCCAGGCTTCATGGTAAAACTTGGATGGACTGATAAGCTGCTAATCCATCTCTCCCTGTTTCTGATCCTGTTCATTTCCTGTACTGCAGGGCAGCTGGGGACAGGCCTTGTGGGTAGGCACAGTCTTGTCCTTCTGTCACTTTGGACTTTCAGAGCAGAAACAGTAATGATGAGGGAGGATAAAAAGGTCACCAAAACTGGTTGATGCTTGGATCACTGTGATACGTCTTTGGAAATAAGCTGTTTTAGTTCTTACACTGCTGCTGTTTTTCTTTCCCTATCAGTTTTTCTCCTTAGTTTATTTAAGCTGTGCTGTTCACCTGTGGCCTTTGTGAGTAAAACCTCTTTCTTGGTTTGCTACAGGTTCAAAGACACTATCGTGAATGCCAAGTATGGAGGGCACACAGAGGCCGTGCGGAGGCTGCTGGGCCAGCTCCCGATCAGCGCCCAGTCGTACAGTGGCAGCCCGTACCTCGACCTCTCCCTTTTCAGCTATGATGACAAATGGGTGTCAGTCATGGAGCGGCCCAAGACCTGCGGTGATCACCCTATAAGGTATGGAAGAGGCCAAGAAGCTGTGTGTGAGGAGAGCGGTGTGAGAGTAACTCTAAATCTGCCGTGTGGCATCAAATGTGCAGAAAAGGCAGTATGACATCATTTCTCGTATGACATCCTTTCACCAGAGGGTTTATTTCAGTGGTCCCACAAAGCTTGGCCTCTCTCCTTGGGATAACTGTTCTATCTTGTATGTGTGGGAGGGCTCTTTGGGTCTTCTTGCTGAGCTGCTCGGGGAGTTTGGATAGCAAAGCCTGAGTCTTTTCCGTCTGAATGCTCTTGTTCCTCCTCCTCTTCTTGCAGTCCTGCCATTGTGTTTGGGCTGCAGAGTGATATGATTCTGGATGCCTGCTTTCCTCTGTTGGAAGGATCCCTTTTGAGCACGTGGTTTTAGCTGGCAAGGATGTTCTGGTTTGTTCTGTGAATAAAATAGCAGCTGGGTTAGGTGTTATTCAGAGTGCTTGTGGTATTGATTTAGCTATTTCCAGACTTTCCTTGTTTACAGTTCTCACCCTGGGAGCTGTACTCCTCTTCATACCCTGCTTCTTTCTGTGATCTGTAGGAAATTTGTTTCTGTAGTAGGAGTTTTAGTCAGATGTAAGGGCCATTCTGTGTCTTTTCTGTCTGAGTCTTTGATGCTGGCAGAAGGACTAAGTCTGAGCTTGGGAATAAGGATGTTTGCAATGTTTCTTGCAGAAACACCAGGACTGTTTATTTCTTTTTGTTGGCGGCAGCCATGGCTGCAAGTAGTAATGGTTAAAAATGCAACATCTCTGGCCTGAAAGGCTCAAAGAGGCTGAGTTCTCCAGGCAGAGCAGTCTTTCCACTTACAGTGATGTAAAAGCAAACCTATGTTCTGAAAACAAAGAGAGCCTTCAGTGCCTAAGTGCTTTGTTTAGTGACTGCCCACATGTTGGGGGGCTCAGGCAGCCTAGGGAGGCCATTCTGGCTGGTTTCCCAACTTTATTTTCGTCAATGCATTCTCAAAAAGTGGTTTCATGTCTCCCCTGGCCCTGACTCAGGTGGCGGGGAACCTCTGATTATTCCTGTGCTCTCAATTCCCAAATTATGTATATTTAATTGATTTTTCTGCCTGTATGATTTGGTTTGATCTCCAGGTCCCATGTTATCTGCAGAGAAAAGCCTGCCCTTTCCCCCTTGTCATGCTTGACGTTGGGAAAACTTGCAGGGCGGCAGTTGTCTGCCAGCGCCAACCTGCGTATGGCTCCCGCAGACAAAAGGGAGCAAAACCGCAGTCATTTGCTGCGGTTATGTCTTTGTAGTAAACAAAGCGAAGTGCCACCTTCCCTCCCTCCCATGAGCAAACCGGCATTTCAGAGCCAGAGCTTTTAAAGCTTAAAGCTCTGCAGAGTCAATTAGGACTTGAATAGGGCCTGGGAGCAGTGGGGCTCCTGGTTTTTGGTAAGTAAGCAGAAGAGGAGGCGCTAACCTTAACCATTCAGTAGCTGAAATAGTGCTGCTGTTTTTCTCACATGCAAAACAAAGGGATTAATAAAGTAATGCCGCTGCCTGTTGTGGTTAGAGGGCTTGGAAATGAGGGGCCACGGGATTTGTAATGTAAGTCCTGTAATTGGCTGGAGTGCAAAACCCTTCAGTGGCTAAGGGTGTTATAATCTGCGTGCAGTTTCCTGGCACAATGTGCGAGATAAGAAGGCCTCCATGTCTTTTACACATTGGTTTCAGTGCCTCTGTGCACTGTTGTCCTTTTAACCCTTAGTGCCTTTCCGCATCCCAGAAGGTTCATCTCTCTTCTGTGGCTACTTGAGAGACCAGGGTTTGTTTGCTCTCAGGAGGGAAGGACTTTAGGTTCCCCATCACTGTTGTCTTCCAGTATCCTTTTAGGAGGCTTGAAGAGATACTCACTGGGTGAAATGATGGCACTTGTGAGAAAGAGGCTTTAACACAGCCATACCTATAGTAGGGGGTCTCTAAAATCCATCTAGATGGCTAATAAGGAGCCATTTAACCAAAAAATTGGTCTGCAGATAAATCTTCCATTTTCATACAATTTGAAAAGGCTGGTCTTGCTGTTTCTGTTGACATACAATTTTATATTGCAGTGCCTAATTTATCCCCAGAGTGAGAGCCCATGGAAATGGCCTCTGATTGCAGAGCACTTTTAAAAATAGATTTAAAAAATACCAAACTGAGCACATCTTTGAGATTACAGGGAGCTTCATCTTGAGTAGTAAATTATTGTGAATTGGGGAGAGAGAGGAGCAGACGGGGGACTGGGCTTTATTTAAAGAATGACCCTCTGCATACCCAGCCTTGTGTAGGAGGGAAAGGGCTTTTTGAAAAGCCAAATACCAAGATTGTGACTCTCTTGCTGGGTTCTTGTGTGCAATTTTCAGGCAGAGCTGGCTGGCACTTTGATTCAGAGGAAGGGAGAGGAGAGTGGCCCTCCAGGAAGAACATGAGGTTCTCAATAGGCTGTGTTGTTAAAATGTGGAGTATGTCTGCTCCTGAAACAGCATCGCCTGTGTCTGTCATCACCCGTTCTTCCAGGCTGAGAGCTGAGTGCATCGTATTGCTGGCAGGGGGGAAATGTGCTCTGAGATTAAAAGCATTCTCTGAGTTAAAACCAGAGGAAAATGCAAAATACCCACATGTACTAAGTGATGGTGGAAAAGGCAACAGCTGGGACGCAAAATGGCAATTCTGTGCCTGAAACTGAAAGAGCAGAGAAAATCGTCTAAGGAACTGAGACAACTTCAGGGTGAGGACTTGAGTTAGAGCCCAACTGCTTTGTGAAGGTACCATATCCAGAAACCTCCACCACCACATCCCAGAAACCTCCACCAAAGTCTTGGGGAGGGTGGGGTCATCGCAGGGAGTCCCCTGTTCCCACAGCAGCACAGGACAGTGGTGTTACCTGGGCTTATGTTGGTTACAGAGAATATGCAGAGAAGGTTCAAGAAGCAAAGAGCTTCTTAGACTCTCCCATCTCTTCAGCACCGTTTGCCTTATCCCCTTGGCAGTGTTTGCTTTGTGCCGAGGCTGTGTTCCAGAGCTCACCTGTTTGGGGACACAAATGAGCTTGACCCACAGGCAGGTTTGTGGGTGACAGCAGAAGGACGCAAGGTTTTTCTTGACCTCTTGTCTTGCTGTGATTATTAAATGCAACCTACCAGGTACTTCCTGCCCGGCCTATCTTGTTAATGCTTTTTTGGTGGAAGTCTCAAAGGAACTACAAAGCCTTGCTTGAGCTGTAAAGTACAACTTGGTGCCTTTGAGCAGAATTGGATCCAGCTGTTTATCTTCCTCGGCTGAATGGGGATATAGTGAGGCACAGGAGCAGCAGTGTAAAGCCTGCTCGGTGGCAGCAGCAGGAGCAAAAAGGGGTGGCGTTACACTCGGCGTGAAGGCCATTGCTAAGGGAAGTGAGCTCGGTTCTGTACAGTATATCTGCCTTAGGGATCAAGGGGAGCAGCTTTCATTAGGAGAGGATGGAGAGCCAGCACAGGTGAGGTCTGGACCAGACTTATTTCCCTCTTGTGAAGTCAGCTACGTTCACCAAAATGACAGGCAGAGTTCTCTTACTGATGATACTAAAACGAAGTCAAGCTTTTCTAGACAGTGGAAAACTAGCTGCCCTGCGAGGGGTTTTCCTGTATAGCCGAGAACCAGACCTCCAGCTGAGGACCTTCTGCCCCTGAGGGAGTACCAGAGATTGAACGAGGCACTTGTCTCTGTGTATGAAGAGCCCAGATGGCAAAGTCAATAGTCGGGAACAGCCATAATTGACTTATTCTTCTTTTCAGATTTTACGCTCGTGATTCTGGCCTCCTGAAGTTTGAGATCCAGGCGGGACTCCTGGGGCGACCCATCAATCACACAGTGCGACGCCTGGTTGCCTTCACCTTCCACCCCTTCGAGCCCTTTGCCATCTCGGTGCAGCGCACTAACGCAGAGTATGTGGTTAACTTCCACATGAGGCACAGCTGCACGTAGTGCGACACGTAGCCGCGGCGGCTGCTCTCCTTGGGTCTGGGCCTCTGCCACAGACGCACCAAAGCCAGACACTTGCGCCTTCTAGGAAACCAAACCGTCACTCGTGTCAAGAAACCTGACCTGGGAGCTCCTCTACCAGCCGGCATCTTGCGGGGACCTCAGCTGTGGAAAGCCGATCCAGTCAAGTTAGGACTGTGAATGTTTCTTCTGACCCTGCTTGTACCGCGAAGGTCTCCACTGCATTAAGTGCTGCTGTTGTTCCCTGTTCCTGTTGATGAACAAAGCGTAGCTGAGGTTCCTTTCCTGGTTCCCCAGAGGCATGTCCGTTTTCTCTCCTGTTGTAGGTCTTAGGATGGCAAAGATGGAGCTTTGCAACACATTTGTGGAGTGCTCCCCTCTGCACTGGCGCTCTCCTACCTTGTTGAGACAAACAGCCTGTTGCAGAGGGAGTGGATGGGAGCCATGGGGAGGGCTTAGAAATACAGCTACCCATGTTTGTATCTTCAGTATTACCAGGGAAATGAAATCCTGTTCTCATCCACACAATCTACTCGCTTGATTTTCATATGCAAGAGGTCAGGAAAAAAAGATGTGGGAAATCACTGCAATTGAGAGACACGAGGTATGTTCCTGACTCTTATGCAAGTTGCTTAATCTTTGTGCCTTAGTATCTGTAAAAGCTCCTAAGTGAAAGGTAGTATGTTAATACCAGAAAGCCAGGGCAGCTGGCTGTGTCTCTAATGCGTGAGGAGGTGGCCACAGAAGGAAGATGGGTGGCTGGGAAGGGTGTAGGGAGCAACAGCAGCTCCTTGATCACGTCGGATGGACTTTCCAGCAGCATGGGCGTGAATCCTCACGGCTATCTGCAGGTTCTGCTTCTGAGGGGAAGGGAGACCCAGCTGCTGGCACCCTCCTGCGTGTTGGAGTACAAGTGCGGAGAATTAGTAGCACTTGGGTTTGCCCAGAAGGGAGGGAAGAGACCTGAATTAATGTGCATTGCTGCAGGTTTGCTGTTAAGAGATGAGCTTGTTGACTTAGGTTGCTTACCTATCCCTCTTTGATATGCTGTTCTCTGTGAGAACCTGATTTGCTATTCCCAGGCTTCAAAGCACAGCTGGCTGGTGTGTCGATGCTGACTGGACCACTGCGGTGTTTATACTGCTGGTAAAATAAGCTCCTGGGTGTAATATTACCTGCCACTGTGGGCTGGTGAGGATGCTGGCCTGCCCTTCTCTTAAAAAAGGAGTTTTTGGTTGTAGACCAACATTTGGGTTTTTCTGCACACAGGCTGTGTATGACTGTGTGCTGCCAGGCAGTCCAACCGTCCCAGCATCGCGAGGTGCCCTGTCGGAAGCTGGAGCCCGCTGTTGTCCCATTCCCATGGGAGGTACAGAGGGAGCATTAAAAAAATGGTGCTTGTACAAGGGAGACCCTCTACTTCAAAGGACCCTGTGGGTGTCTTGTTTGGACCAAACTGAGCTCTGGGTGATATGTTGTGGCCACATGTCTGTGAAGAGAAGTATCCAAGTCATAGATTCATTTTTCACGGTAATGCATAGGAAAATGACTGTGTGGGTGCCTGCTTAGAGGATGAATAGTGGACTTCATAATGGAGGGTGCCCTGAGGTCCTTGAATCAGCCTTTACTCTCTGTCTCATCGTACTTCTCTCCTCTCCTCTCCTGGCCTTGCTAAACATATTTCTAGGCAAAGACTTTGTGTTTCACCGTTCTTTTCCTGGTGTTTGCACTGTTGGATTCTCAGGTCTGTCAGGAGCGACTTCAGGTCAGAAAACTGCTAATAGAGGAGGTGTCAGGCCACACGTGCTTTAGCTCCAGGTTCCTCGCCATTTAATAACACTATTTGTCAAGGTTTTAGTTTTTTTATCCTGTGGTTTGTTCCTCAAACATTCAATTAAAGCTCCAAGTGGAGAATCATTTGCACACAGTAGATCATGGATTTACCTCCTTCTGCACCACTCACGTTTGTTCACGCTTCCAGTATGAGACTACTTCCCCCCCACCCCCCCACCCCCGGCCAAAGCTCTCAGCAGCTCCATCCAAGACTGGGTTTATTCCTTGGCGTCACAGCCTTGGGAGGTCAGTGCTTACTAAAATAGCTGTCAGATCTCCATTCAGACTTTTTTTTTGCTGGCAAAAATATAAACCGCTTCAGCATTTCTGCAGTCAAGGCTTTTGCCAAATTCAGGCTGTCCTGGGTAAAGCAGAGAGCGTGGCAGGGATTGTTGGACTTGGGGCTGAAAGACCAGAGATCTGTTCTTAGCTCTGCTATTAAATTGTTCTGTGACTGGGGGCAAATCTCTTCCTGTTCCAGCTGGTGTTTTCTTCTCCGTAAATGAGGCCAAAAACATGTTTTCAGCTTTTGTAAAACACTTTGAGATTCATGGGTAAAAAGTGCTGGATAAGTGCTAAGTATTTTCTTATTATGTTTGCAGACAAAACCGATTGATCATTCTGGGTACTAATTGCCTTGGAGTAGCATAGCAGATCCTCTGGTCTTGGCTGCTGCATTTTATATCTACAACAGAGTTAATTTTATTACAGAAATGTATTGAAAGAAAAGTCTCTCATGCTTGAAATTTTGATTCTTTTATTTAAGAAACAAGAAGTGTGTGTGGTGGGGAGGGTGGGAGGAAAGGGGAGATATTTTCTACCTGATATTTTTCCTTGGCTAGGATGAACATTTCTTAGCAACACAAGACAAAAATGGAATAAACAGAATTTGCTTTAAGAGCCTGATTTATTGTCTTTGTCTTCCAAAAATTTTAATGGTGCAAACAGGAATCCCTTTGCCAAGAAGAGACGGCAGGGATGTGCCTTGGACTACGCAGGCATATCGCATGTGAGTTTGCTTCCTCTTCCTGGCACTTGGAGTACCAATATGTTCAAGGATGGTCCTACCTGTGGCATTTTGGTAGTTACTGCACATTTCTCAAATTCTTGTCAACATGAGCTAATGCTGGGGGATGAATACTTGACCTTCAGTTAACATTTTCCCCTTTATATATTATTACTAGCCCAAGTTGTATTCGGAAAGTCTTCCTTTAGCATGTCTAACCTTGTGGTCATTTTCTGCTGATGCTCCACGATCGAGAGATGGAAGCTGAACAACACACCTTCCTTGGCAGAAGAGCCATCGCCTACCCACTGCTTTTAGGTTGGGCTAAGGCACTCAGATTTTCCATTGCGTGCTGCTCCCAGCCACGATGCAGCTTTGCAGAACATTGTGGCTGAGAACATGTGGATGGGACCTTCCCAAAGTCTGGGATCCCGTTGTAATCCACTGCTGCTCTGTAACAACCTAGCAGCATCCCTGTTTATGTTAGTTCCTCTAAGCATCCGCATCTTGGGCATGAAAGCCACTTTCCTTTGAACCATTCCTCCATTTTCATGTGTGCAGTTCTCTGATGCTGTCCTTTGGAGACCGTGAGCATATCAGAAAGCTCTTGAGCCTGTGGCTTTTCAGATAGGCACTAAGTGACAAGGAGATGCTTGACTTAGAAACCACATTTGACTGGCAGCAGAATCCCATCTTTTGTTACTTCTTGTGCTGCCTTTGCTTTTAAAAAAAAAGTAGCAAAAGCAGGACACTTGCAATATTTCTTACATAAACTGCATTAGACAGCTAGCCACAGAAATCCCATTACAATCAAACCTATGTATCCATTAATGGTGTGTCCCTACTAAAGAATCCTTTCAATTAACCTTCCAGCGCTGAGTGGCTGGCCCTGATTTAACTCCCCGATGTTCTCAGTGTACTTATAAGACCTTCCTTTTGCTCAGGTGCTGATGTCTGTTATGCTTCCCTTGGTCCTTTTTGACCCAGCTAGAAGAATCAGATTTCTGATGCTTTAAGAAGTCTCTTTGTCTTTCTTGTTTGTGTCCTCCGTTTTGCCGCTTTTCTGCCAGCTTTTCCTGCAGGATCTCTCAAGGCTGTGGACAGAGGAGATGGTGAAGGCTGGATGGCAATGGGACATGTGGCCCTCTGAACCTATATCAGATGGGTGCACACTGTGGAGCAAGTAGATGGTCCTGTGGGCAAGCAACAGGACAGGATTTTGTGGGTTTGCTTTTGCCTTGCTTTCTGAGTTTCAGAGCTCAGGTCGCTGATGTGCCTGAATCCTTGTGCTTTTCTGTCTTGTTATATGGTTGTAAAAGATTTTCTGGCCAAATACTCCTCAGGAGGGAGGGAATGGTGAAAGGGTTGGGATTTTTTTTTTGTTTTGGTTTTTTTTTTCTTCCTTTTCCTTGCTTGGGGGCTGCGGGGGACGTGGGCTGAGCTGTGCGAAGTCAGTCATTGTAGCAGTAACAGCCTGGCACTACCTGCCCACCAGGCTGACTGCTCATCAGGCAGCAGCGTCTCCTGCTAGAGCTGTTTGCTGGCTAAGGTCTGATTTGCCTTTGTTTCTCTTGGGGAAGAGCTGTACTTACTGCTTAAGGAAATGAGTTCGCAGAAAAATACCAATGTGGGAAACACCCTGAATTGCACATTCTTTTCCTGATGTTTTGACATAAAAATACTGCACCGGTTTTAGACTAGCAATCTGGAAACCAGTAATTCGTGGGCGACTACTGTGGTCCTGCAGGTGAGGAGAACTGCAAAGGGGCACAGTGTTCCTAATCCCAGCCGTTTAGAGGTGTGCTGCAGCATCTGGGTAATGTGTTGGCCCTCGCTTGGTTAACAGGGAGTCAAGGACATTGTACGAGCCTACAGGCTTTGCTGCATTTGTGCAGAGGTAATTTTTTACCTTGTCTCTTGTTTCTTTCCTCCCAGAAGTCAAATCCTTTCCTAGGGCACCTTCTAGCTGTTGCAGTTTGCTAGCAGGGTGATTGCTGTCCTCGGTTTTGCGAGGATGCCAAGTGCACCGGAACATTTGAGGAGGGTTTTAGAGGAGCGTGTCAGGGAGATGCTTGACGGGTGCCCAGGGCCCTTGGCAGGCCAGAGGGAGGAGGACTGTGGGGAGAGATGCCTCCCAGAGGAG